TCTTCACTCATAAGTATATTAGGGATGAGAATGTCATCATCATTCTCAGAATCCTCCTCCATTTTAGCGTATCCGTTGTCGTCGTTGTTGTTGTTTTGGGGGGGTTGACTTTGAGTGTTGTCATGACGTACACTTTCGCCTTCCATCAATGGGGTTGATGGAGAGAAACTTGAGGCAGTAGAGACTAGTGAGACGAGAGAACCAATTAGGAGATTGAGACAGATTGCAGAGAGAGAGAGAGAGAGAGAGAAATTTTTAAAATCGAGAACCTTCTCAGTTTATAATATTCTCAATTTTAATCATGAAAAAATTAAGAAATTTCTCAAAATTGATAATTATAAATTTCTTAGAATATTCGCAGAATTATCTTTCTTTTCAATCCCATACTTTTCTCAGAAGCCAAACAGAAATTTTTTAATTTTGATAATTATATACTGAAATCATTCTCTGTTTGAAAATTGAGAACATTCTCAGTTTTGAAATTGAGAACATTCTTAGTTTTGGGATTAAAGGGAAAAATGTCTTTTTACCTATAAATGGGACTCATTGGTTCAAAAAAAATTTGACAGGACCTAAGCTACCACTAAATATGTAGACATGACTTTTTGGTAATTAACTCTAATTTTTATGAAAGGGTACATATTGCATTTTCCTACTGTAAATTTCCAAAATTCATACCAAACACCGCTTTTAACACTTTACACTGACATTTTTTTTATAATCGAAAATCATATATTAAAAAAAAATAAAAATTTGTACCATTGATTTGATGATAATTCTTACGGTTGTGGAAGATATAAATTGCTCTAATCTTTTTAGTTTTTTTAACATCGAAGGTTGATTAACAGAATTAATTGTTAAAAGATTAATCAGTATGTTTGATTTCAGTTTTCTGAATTCAGTTTTTTGAAAATTGAGTTTTTTGTTTTTTATATTTTTATTGTTTTTAGTAATTTTTAAAATTTTAATTTTTTTTTTACTTTTTTAGATACACTTTATTTAGATGTATGCAAAAAGTAAAATATTTGTGAAAAAATATTTAAAAAAATTGATAAATACACAAAAATAAGAAAAATATACTGAATTTTCATAATTTTTTTTTTTGTATTTTTGGTATTTAGTGAATATTTTAAAGATTTTTTTCACATTTTTGGTATTTAGTGAATTTTTTAAAGATTTTTTTCACGAAAATTATACTTTCAAGTGTTTTTATGTTAGGCGTGTCTAAAAATTAAAAAAATTGTTTAAAATATTTTTTTAAAAAAATCAGTAAAAACAAAAAATATGAAAAATAAGAAAGTAGAATTTTCTGAAAAGTATTTTTAGAAAACCCAAACCAAGTTTATAAATTAGTGTAGAATTAATTATCTAATTATATTAGTGAAATAATCTTTTATTATGCATTTATTTTTTTTTATTTTTTATATTGGAAATTATGACTACAACCCGCCTTAATATTAAAAATTCACCAATTTCATCTGATTAAATGTTTGTTGTATATATAATCTGATTAATAAATTTTGCAATCAAATATGGGATTGTGAATCCATGGATTAACAATCTCAATTTTATACTATAATCTCGCTAATAAAACACACCACAATGTTCAGCTAATTTTGAGCTTTCAAAGTAAAAATTTTATAAAAATTATAAATAAATAAATTGATGTTATCTAAACATTAGGGGGGGGGGAATTGGCAAAAATGATTAGAATCTCCTTCGTCCAGCATAGAAATGCGCAACCAGCTCTCCTTCCCCCAAAAGATAATGGGAAATGCTAGGTGTCATAAAGAATTTTCATGAAAACTGTTATGAAAATCATCTGCACCGTTAGATCAGGTATGTGTCTCATGATCCAACGGTGCAGATGGTTTTCATGACAGTTTTCATGAAACGTAGCAGGACCCAAAGATAATTTGGTTGAATTTTTAAAATTTGTTTTTTTTATTTTTTATTACTAAATTGAAACTAATTTAACAAAAATAAACATAAAAAAAAATTCAATATTATAAAAATTGTTCTTTCCCCCAAAAAAATGTAAATCAAAAGAAAATTTTGAGTGTTCTTTATTTTTTTCAATTTTTTAGCAATTTAGTTTTTAGTTTTTTTTTTTTTTTTTTCACACTCAACTAAACATGATGAATATTTTTGCAATAGAAATACAAAATTTTATGAACTTTTAACAGCCCAAATCAATGACAATGTCAAATGGAGAAGCAACATCAACCTCCAACTAGAGGGACCAAATAGCTATTTTTGTGTAGTACTAATATCTTTAGTGCAAAACCTCCAAATGAAACATTCTGATGTAAAAACAATACCACTTATAGTAACCCTCAAAAATCAAGAATAACCTTTATTTTTATTTTGTCAGTACCACTGCTTTGCATGTTTCTCACACTGGAATCCACACAAACATGTTTCAACTAAGTCCAACCGCGACCCTGCAGCTATCCTTGAGTAGCAACTGGACCTAACAAAGTCTTCATGATTGCAAAGAAAATATTGGCCTTCTCTCATCTGATACACTGACAAATCAATGCCATTCCCGTGTTGGGTACCATCCTCTCGCTCATTTTCTTGCTCATTGCACCCAATTCGAATTCCAAATTCCTTCACTTGATAATATTCTTCCATGTTCACCGACACAGTCACCTCATCGCCACGTTCCATTAGCTGATTCCCACTCTTCCAATCACTCAACCATAGAATATCTTTGCCTTCTTCTGCAATGCCTATGAATGCTGGCCTATAGGTCCATTTTTTACCCTTGGTCTTATTGCTGACTATAATACATCCATTCATCCATGTTGCCTTCTTGAAATCCAAAGCAACTGCATAGCAAATGCATATTTTCAAGCCCCAAGTCTTGAGATTGGGAAGCCAAGGCACATGAAAAGATATCAAGGACCCCGTACTCTTATTGTTGAACCAGCTTGGGACCGCATTCCCTGGAAGGAATATGCTGTATATACCGCATTCATATAGTACCTATAGGATGGAATCCACAATTCTAACTGTTACTAAATCCAGTTAAACATAAATGTTGCGTAGGGTGAGTAGTGGATATACCGATCCGTAAAAATTGACTGAACCGAACCGAACCGATCCGTCGCATTTTGGACGGATGCGTGATGACGAGCGGATGGTTGCGGATTGATTTTCTCCAATCCGCCATGACGGATTTGAGATTCCTTTAATCGCAACCGAACCGCCAAACCACGAGCACCCTTAGTAATTTATAAGACTATGTGTTTTCAGTTTGTTTAAATATTCTATTTGTGTTTTCAATTAAAAAAGAGTTTAAATATTCTGTTGAAAAAAAATTTTCAACTTGAATATCTTTTTTGAATTGAAAAAAATAAACGTATTATTTATCTATATTTTTTGGTTTTTAAATCTATCTCTAAAAATAATAAATAGAAAATATGATATATGCTGGTTGGTTTTTGTTTTCAAAAACAGATATAGATGTAACAATATAGAGACATACAATCTCTACTACTACTATGTTCATGATTTTGCTGATTTGAATTGTTTTTATATTTTAAGAACCACAGATTGTAATACTTTATGTGGATAAAGCATGCTGTGATTGTAATATGTGGATGAGGCATGCAGTGAATATAATATTCTAAAGTTTTAAACTTTCTTTCTTTGGATGAAGCATGCAGTGATTGTAATACTTTTTTAAATCATTGACTATAATATTTTTTTTTTGAGGAAGTGCACAAGTTGAATTATGTTAAAAATTTATAAAATTTTAAACCGCCAATCCAGCGGTCCGCTCAATCCACATCCGCTGGATTGGCGGACGGATGCTGATTGATTTTCTCCGATTCGTCAATCTGGCGGACGGATGGCGGATTAGAGGTTCCATGGCTGCAACCGACCCTCGCCCACCCCTACTTGCATAACTATTACAAAAAAAACATATATATAGAGCATATTTCTTTCAGGATAGCATATATACCTCATATATTTTTCACGCCAATAGTCTCTATATTTTGACTCTTATGTTATTTTGGTCATTATTATTTTAATTTACTTGATTTTGACCTCAATTTTTTTATTATTATTTCAATTTGGTCCAATTGATTACAATTGGTAACATGATTTTATGAAAAATACACACATGAGTGGTTTGTGTCATACTTTTTGGAGCAACACTATAAATTCAATTAATTTAGTGAGTTAACATCAACCAATTCAAAGTTCATTTCTATAAATAAATAAATTAATTAAAAAAAAATTTCTAATGATATTGTGAATTGAATCAAATTAACACAAAATCTAAAATTAATAATTAAAATTAAGCTAATTGAAAATGTAAGAACCAAAATGATACAAGGGGTAAAATGTAGATTTTTTTCCTAAAATAAGTTTTACCCACATAATGTACTTTTTTTTTCATTTTTTTTATGTTTTAATTCTCTTTCACCTAGAATTTTTGACATGCAAATGAGAGAGCGAGAGACAGAGAGAGCACCTGGAGTTCTCGAACTTTCCTTTTTGTGAATGTAAGATTACTGAGCAATTTCATGTCAAGGCAGTCCATGGATTCCAACTGAGACAAGCCCAAGTTGTCCATAGTTTCTGAATCAATTTTATCAATGGATTCCAACCTGAACATTCCCTCAACCTCAACTAGTTTTACACAACCATATGTGCTCAGCATCAGTGAATTCAACAGGTTTGGTAGATTTGTTACCCTTTCCAATGACTTGCATCCATATATTGTCATTCCCAATAAACTCATTGGAAGCTCTGGAAGTGCTTGGAGCTTCGTGCAGCGCTGTAAATCAAGTTCCATGAGCGCACTAAGATTTTTTATGCTTTCTGGTAAGTTACAGATTGGATTTCTGCTAAGCCTCAATCCTTGCAACAAAGGCATGCTACTAAGATCCTTAGGAAATGTATTGTCGGTTAGATTGTGTTAAAATCCACCTACTCTCCACCTACTTCACCCACTTAAACCTACTCCACTAAACCTAACCCACTAAATCCACATACTCTCCACCTACTTCACCCACTTAAACCTACTCCACTAAACCTAACCCACTAAATCCACATACTCTCCACCTACTTCACCCACTTAAACCTACTCCACTAAACCTAACCCACTAAATCCACATACTCTCCACCTACTTCACCCACTTAAACCTACTCCACTAAACCTAACCCACTAAATCCACATACTCTCCACCTACTTCACCCACTTAAACCTACTCCACTAAACCTAACCCACTAAATCCACATACTCTCCACCTACTTCACCCACTTAAACCTACTCCACTAAACCTAACCCACTAAATCCACATACTCTCCACCTACTTCACCCACTTAAACCTACTCCACTAAACCTAACCCACTACACCACTACCTTCTGAATCAGTTTCTAGAGCATTCATGTTAATCTTTTGTGAAGAAAAAAAAACCCAATGTAAATAGCTAAATTTCTGCAGTTGCTTCACTTCTGCTCTCCAGGTAAGATCCAACATAATTGTTCTTGCGATCTTCAATTGTTCTCTGTCAATTTTCTTCGAGTTTTGACAATTTTCCTTCAAATTGAATTCTGACAGATCGAAATCACACTTTGCTACTCCTTGGCATCAGCGGTATTCTTAAAGATATACTATCAGGACTACAGGAAAAAGAGGATGTGGTGGCGTTTTTATAGCGACGTTTATTTAAACGTCACTGTTATGAGTATTTAACGGCGTTTTATAAAGCGCCGCCTATTCTATTTCACAAAACGACACCGTTTTATAATGGGAGGCGTTTAGAAACGCCTCCGAATGCGGTAGCCACACGCGCCTCTTTTTTTTTTTCCTTTTTTTTTTTTTGAAACATATTTGAATCTGAATACATACGGACAGATCTCTCCCCCCTCTCTCTCTCTCTCTCTCTCAACCCTTAATACATACGGACAGATCTCTGTCTCTCTCTCTCAACCCTCTCTAAGCTCTATCGAAGATTCAGATCGACCTATAAATCAATGAGTATTTGAATCAGATTAAGGAACTTTCTGATCAATTAACTCTAGCTTCATCACCAATTGATGAAAAAGATCTGGTGTTCCTTACTTTAAATGGATTACCAGATGAGTTTGATGCATTCACTACTTCCATTCGAGCCAGATCTGGTTTTATTACTATGGAAGAGGTGTCTTCTCTTCTTTGTTCTGAAGAAATCCATATGGAGGCTAAACTCAAGAAGTCTTCTTCTGATCCAACAATTGCCTTCTCCTCTATTAAAGGCAACTCTTCATCTCGTGGTTCTGGTTACAGAGGAGGCAGATCTCAGTCTCGAGGTACTAGAGGTGGACGGTTTCAGTCTAGAGGCTATCATTATAATAGAGGTGGTGCTAATCGCGGACGAGGCAGATCGTTTTTTCCTCAATCTCAATGCCAAATCTGTGGAGGTTTTGGTCATATAGCCATTGATTGTTGGTATAGAATGGATTCTCAATTCCATTCTTCTGCTGGTTCCTCCTCCTCACCATCTTCTCAACACTCCAAAGCATTTGTGGCTTCTTCCAATGCTTCGGTTACAGATTCATCTACTGCACAAGTGCCTTGGTACCTTGATTCTGCGGCCACTGATCACATTACCAATGATATGAGTAATTTGAGTTGCTACCAACCTTACCAAGGTTCTGATCAAATTACTATTGGAAATGGTAATTCTATACCAATTCATCACACTGGTAAAGGGCTTTTACCTACTCCTCACCATTCTTTCAAATTAAACACTCTTCTTCACACTTCTTCTATTTCTTCAAATCTGCTTTCTGTTCACAAATTAGCCAGAGATAACAATTGTTTTATTACATTTGATGATGCTAACTTTGTGATTCAGGACAAGCATTCGAAGAGAGTGCTTCACAAAGGAACTAACATCAATGGTCTCTATCATTTCCTTCCATCTTCATCTGCTGCTGCATGTTGTCCACAAGCTCATCTTAGTTCTACTCATTCCTCAGCCTCTGCTACTGAGGACATTTGGCATAATAGACTTGGTCATCCAAGTTCACTGAAATTGTCTCATCTTAGGAAGTATTTGAAGTTTGTTTCTAATAATGTTGCACATAAGACAGTCTCTTCAAATTGTGTTGACTGTTGTGTTGCTAAAAGCCATAGGCTTCCTTTTCATTTGTCTAATTCCACTAGCAATCAACCTCTTTCCTTAATTCATAGTGATGTATGGGGGCCTTTTCAGTCTGCTTCTTCTTACAAATTTTATGTACTTTTTGTGGATGATTTTTCCAAATTCACTTGGCTTTATCCTTTATCTTTTAAGAGTGAGGTTTATTCCAAATTCATTGAGTTTAAAGCCTATGTGGAAAAACAATTTCAGACTCCTTTACAAATTCTGCGAACAGATGGTGGCACTGAATTTTTTAATAACAAAATGACTCATTTTCTTGCTTCCGAGGGTATTGTTCATCAGCATTCTTGTCCTTACACACCCTCTCAGAATGGTGTTGCCGAGAGAAAGCATAGGCATATAGTTGATACCACTATTGCATTATTACATCATGCTTCTATGCCTCTTAAGTACTGGTTTGATGCTATTGCTGTGGCTACTTTTTTAATCAACAGGTTGCCTTCTTCTCAGCTAGCTCATAAATCTCCTTTTGAGTTGTTGTTTCACTCCATTCCTGATTACTCTCATCTTCGAGTTTTTGGATGTCAATGTTTCCCTTGGCTCAAGCCTTATGTGACTCATAAGCTTCAACCTCGCTCTATGTCTTGTGTCTTCTTAGGATATCATCCATTTGCCAAAGGTTACAGGTGTTTAGACCCTCTTACAGGTCGTGTGTATCTTTCTAGGCATGTTCATTTTAATGAATCTTGTTTCCCTTTTCATACTCTTTCTCAGTCTACACCTGCATCTTCTTCTTTGTCTTCTTTACATCAGTTTTTTTGGTCTTCTCCTCCTTTGCCTTCTAGGCAGCTCCGTTCTATTTCTCATCATCCCAGATCTGCTTCTCTGCCTTCTGCTGCCCAGCCTCCTGGTCCGCAGCCTCACACTGCTGTTTCTCCTCTGCTGCCACCCAGATCTGCTGCTCTGCCGCCCCATTCTGTTCCTCTGCCTTCTGCTGGTCTGCGGCACGGGTCTGCACCAAGCCAGCCTCATGCTGCCCCAGCTTCCCATGTTTCCTCTGTTCCTCTGCAGCCGCCTATCCCTATCCAGTCCATTACCATTCAACTTCCTTTACATCCTCCACCTCCAACTCTTAATTCTCATCCTATGATCACTCGGTCTAAAGCTTCTTTTTCAGCCTTCACACCAGCCTCAAAGCCTACTTCTTCTTTTCCCTTTGTTGATACTGAACCACCCTCCTATAAAGAGGCTCTTTTATCCCCTATTTGGCTTCAGGCTATGCAAGAAGAAATGAATGCCTTGCATACTCAACATACTTGGTCTCTTGTGTCTTTGCCTTCTGACAAACAAGCTATCGGCTGCCGCTGGGTCTTTAAAATTAAGAGAAATTCCGATGGTAGTATTGCCCGACACAAAGCCCGGTTGGTGGCTAAGGGGTATCTTCAACAACATGGTATTGATTTTCAAGAGACTTTCAGTCCCGTTGCCAAACAACCTACTATTCGCATTCTCTTATGTCTTGCCCTTCATTATCACTGGCCCTTGAAACAATTGGATATTTCAAATGCTTTTTTTTCATGGTTTGCTTGAAGAAGAGGTGTTTATGCTTCAATCCCCTGGTTTTGTGTCTTCTTCTGCACCAACTCATGTTTGTAAGCTTCACAAGGCTTTATATGGCCTCAAGCAGGCCCCCCGGGCTTGGTACTCCACTTTTTCAGCATTTCTCTTATCTCAGGGATTTTTCAACAGTAAATGTGATTCCTCTTTGTTTATTCAGAAGACTCCTACCACTCTCACTATTCTTCTGGTTTATGTCGATGACATTTTGCTTACTGGCAATGATTCTTCTCATCTTCAATCCCTTATTACAAAGATGCATCAAGTGTTTTCCATGAAAGAATTAGGAAATATCTCCTATTTCCTTGGTATTTCTATCCATGGTTCTCCCTCTTCTGGCTATTTTTTATCCCAGCAAAAATATGCTCAAGACATTCTCACTAAGGCTGGTTTATCTGATTGCAAGCCGTGTTCTTCTCCTCTTGCTGTTAAACCTACTTCTCAGCCTCATTCTACAGCTCCTTATTCTAATCCTACTCTCTATCGAAGTTTGGTGGGAGCTTTGCAATATCTTACCATTACCAGGCCGGATTTATCTCTTGCCGTTAATCAATGTTGCCAACATATGCATGCCCCTACCAATGGCCATTTCTCTGCTGTTAAGCGCCTTCTTCGCTTTGTCAAAGGCACCCTTCATCATGGTTTACAGTTTTCTCCTAGTACATTTGATGTTCATGCCTTTTCTGACTCCAATTGGGCCGGGGATGTTCTTGACCGCAAGTCTACCTCTGGTTATTGTATTTTCTTGGGTTCCAATCTTATATCGTGGTCTGCCAAGAAACAGGCTACTGTTTCTCGAAGTTCTACTGAGGCCGAGTATCGAGCCCTTGCTCACACCACTGCTGAGCTCACCTGGATACTTATGCTCCTACATGATCTTGACATTCCTCTTCCTACTCTTCCTATCCTTTGGTGTGACAATGTCTCCGCCATTGCTCTCGCAAATAATCCGGTGTTTCATTCTCGGTCAAAGCATATAGAAGTTGATTGTCACTTCATTCGTGACAAAGTTCTTGCTAAACAATTGCATTTGCAATACATTCCTACCACCGATCAGTTAGCGGATATCTTCACTAAACCCTTGTCTGTTGGCCGGTTTTCTTATCTCAAATCCAAGCTCATGGAGTTTCATCACCCCATCAGCTTGCCGGGGCCTGATAAGATATCACCTATACCAGATAATCAGGATAGCTGCAGTATT